CCCCCCTCCCCGCTCGCTGCAGTTTCAGTGTGGGGGAGACCTGGGAGGGTCCGCGTAGACACCTCCTCCCTGCCTCCCGTTTGGCCCTCTTGCTGGCACTGGCCCGTCCACCCTGGCCTGGCTCTCCACCCTGGGTCTGTGTGCTTGGATCCCTGTCCAGCCCACCGGCCGGGACTGGGGGCAGGGTGAACCGGGCCAGGCGGGCCAGCGGTAACACCCCCTGCGATGCTGCACCATGGGACAGTCTGGGTGCGTGGGCTGTGGCGTGAAGGGCCTGTGGGGTTCCCTCTCCTCCTCCCATTTCTCTCTTTCACGAGAGAAAGAGATATGCTTTGCTCTAATGGGCTCTGGGGACTTGAAGGGACAGCGAAGGCTGACCAGCCCACCCAGGGCAGCAGGGGAGGCCACCGAGACCAAACACACTCCGCATCGCAAACCCGAGCTGAGCTGAGCTGCTCTGCATGGGGCCTCCCGCCCGGCGCAGTGAGCAGGGCAGGGGCTGCACCGTGTCGATGGGTACCCACAGAGGGCAGCTGGCGGCAGTTCGAGGCGCCCCTGCAGCCAAAGCCGTGGCTGGTGCTGACGTGGGGCAGGCCGTGCTGGGGAGGAGGTGGCCGTGACTGCTCCAGACCCGGAGCCCTCACAGCCTTCCTGCCTTGGCCATCGCTTTCTGACTGCTGCAGCCAGTGCCAACAGGTAGCGAGGGCAGAGCTGGGCACCTGGGGCTGTGCTTGCTCGGCTCAGGCTGCCGTCCCTGAAAGGGGGCTCTTCCTCGCACTCCCTGAGGTTCTGACGCCGGTGGAGGCAGCTGGGTGCCCCGGGCCCACGGGGGTCCTACACACGACCTGCCAGGAGCTGCCGGGCTGGCCTGCTGTGCCCCCCAGCACCCCCAGGGTCACCTCCATCGGCAATGGCCTTCTCCAGCACAGACGTGGCCAGCTGGTCCGTGACGGACAGGTCCTGGGGGTCCCCTGATGTGCACACCCAGCGGAAAGGCCCAAAGCCCTGGGAGAAGATGTCACTGCAAGGACAGGAAGCCCCCTCAGAGGCCCTGCCGGGCTCCAGTGCGTGCCTGCTGGGGACCCTGCACACTCGTGCCCACTGAGGCTGGGCCTGCCCAACGGGACGAGGTCTGCAGGGCACCCTGCCCCTCGATGTCCTCTGCCTCCCCGAATGCCCCACCCCTTCCTTCAGCAGCCCCACCCTAGCATCCCCTCTGCCGCTCAGGACCCAGGCTTTCCCTGTCCCCTCTCCTTGTGCCCCCCCGACTCAGACGCTCAGCTCTGCGCCCCACCGCCACCCCCATGCCACTCCACCACCCTCTGCAGGAGCAGGGAGCTGGGACATGGGTGAGCAGAAACTACAGGAAATTGGTCCCTGAACCTGGAAAAGCTGAGGGGGGAGACCTGGGGCCTGCCCAGGTAACCAACTCCCGTGCACAGTGGCTCAGGCCCAGGACAGCCACTAGCTAGGACCCTGCAGGTCCCAGAGGTCACCTTCTGGTGGGTGTGTCCCAGGGAGGGTCTGGCTGCCCTGGGCCTGGGTGGGCACCCGTCAGCCCTGAGGAGGTGACCTGTCCTCTCCTACACCCGCCTCTAACCCGTGGCACGACACAGGACTGGGGTCCCCCAGAGCGGGGACAACTGCTTCCTCCCCGGCAGGAAGTCCCTCTGCCCTCCAAGCCACGGACACAGCTCACTCACCCCATGATGTGCTGGACGTACGAGGGGTAGCGGAACTCAGTCCTGCCAGCGCCCTTCTTCCCCACGTCTGCGCCTGCGGACAGGGCCCACGCCGTCACCGCCCAGCTCACGGCGCGGCCACCCGGGCTGACCGGGCCCAGCGGGGGCCAGGGAAGGCACAGAGGGGCCTCTTCTGAGTACACGAAGATGAGAAACCAGGGACGGGGCCACTGGGCCTGCTGTCCCTGACAGTCTCAGGGAGGGCACAGGGCCGAGCGGCCCTCGTCAGGGTCTGAACTTGCGCCCTTCTGCTCTCTGAGTGACCAAATCGCCTGCCTGGCAGGGAGAAGGCTCTGGCATGGGAAGGGCCACCGCGTTTGGGCACCAGCGCTTGCTCCCAAGCTCTGTGGCTGCTTCTCTGTGGCCTTTGTGTTCTTCAGCCCACAGGACCAGGCCACAGAGGCCGGGCTGCCCTGAGCGCCCCTTCCTCAGGCAGGGCCGAGGCACGGCCATGCCTCCCGGGCCCCTCACGGGCGGCCCCAGGCCAAGCTGGACTGCAAGTGGAGGGGAGGGGCTTCCCGGGGAGGCCCGGGCGGCGCCACCCACCTCCCTCCCGCCCGCTCACCTGCCCGCTGGGCCTCCAGGAGGAAAGCGTTGCCGTAGTCCCAGAAGAAGAGCCCCTTCTCTGCCAGCCTGTGGATGGCTGAGATGTGCCTCCTCAGGCTGCAAGGGATCGCGTCAGTGCCACCGACCAGGGCCCGGGGACCCCGGTCTCCACCTGCCCCCGGGCATCCTGGCCTGCACCCTTCCCTGCCCTGTGGCCTGCCTGGAACACTCCGCCTTAAACCCTCCACACCTGCAGCTGACGGCCCCAACAAGCACCTGCTCGTCATCAGCCCCAGGGCCCCTGGGAGAATGACTCCCCAGAGAGGGCCATTTGTGGACCTGTTTGCCCAGCACGCACAGGTGGGGACATCCCAGCCTGTCCTCTGCGGAGTCCCTCTGCATGCCCACAGGTGTGCATGCCCACAGCCTGCCTGGCAGCGGGGCCGAGGCCCTGGGAGCGGACGACTTCGCCCGGGGCCACACGGCTGGGCACTGAAAAGCCAGCCTACCCCAGGCAGGCGAGGTAGGCCGCCCGGCTGCCCCCGCCCAGCCCTGGCCCCGGCCCTGCCCACCTCTCCTGGACCAGGCCTTTGAACGCGGCAGGGCTGGATGCCATGAGACGCTGGGCCTCAGGGAAGCTGAGCTGCACGGGGTAGTACCCGCCGCTGAACGGGTTGTGGCACGACGTCTGGTCCGACCCCAGGTCCACCAAGAGCTCCCCGGTCGTGTCCAGTTCGTGGACCAGACGCTCCCTGGGCAGGCCGCGGGTGGTCAGCACAGCGAGGCCTGGGGCCGGCGCTGCACACTGCCCCACCCCCACACCGCAGGCGCCACAGGACGGGCATGGGCAGCAGAGGAGGTGCAGGAGGCTGGGTGGGCCGACCACGTCCCGGGACCACCCGTCAGGACTGAGGCCTCTGCTGGGGGAGCCCCTCGGCTGGGGTCCCCAGGCTGCCTCCCCACCCCCACTCACCAGAGATCGACCACGTTGCCGTGGTAACCAAGGCTGAGCACCTCCTTCTTCTTCCGCGCTTCCCTGGGAGGGCAGGGAGCACAGAGGTGGTGGGCCACGCCTGCCCTGCCCGCAAGTGCCCGCGCCCATGCCCACCAGCGCCATGTGTGAGGGCGGGGCCGCGGGTGCCGTGGGTGTCCCCTTGGCCCCGTGTCGTGTCCAGGAAGCACACGGGGATAGCCTGGACGGGTACGCCCCAGACCGGAAGCGACAGCCGTGGGGGTCACTCTTCCACCCCTCATGGATGTTGGGCCTTGCTGCCCAGCTCTAATGCGGGCCCTTGTAGCCCGCGGCCAAGGTGGCTAAGTCGTTGGAGTCACCGAAGACCACTGCCACAGTGGCTCCGGGCAACCCGGCCACTGTGGACGCTGCCAGCCTCCAGGAGATTCCTGGGCCAAGCCGAGCACACCAGGTCACCGCGACCTGCCCGACAGGAGAGGCAGGTGGTCCAGGACTGCCAGAGTGCTG